TTTAGTTCAAAAGTATTACATGTTGACAACAAAAGTAGGTGCCCTACGGGCTTACACTTTCCAAGCCAACACTTGGTTACAAAAAATAGAGAGTTCTAACTCTAAACACATTAAGCCCTTGGCTTGAATTTACATGTAATACGCAAAATAATCAAGAAAGGAAGCCTTCAGCTTCTACAACCTCCCAAGCTACATCCTTGGAGGCGGCATATCACTTGCACCTGAAAATGATGTCCCATATAGGGTGAGCCAACGTCCAGTAGAGATATGCTAAACATAATATGAATGATAACTAAAACATTTGCTTTTGATAAATGTTTTACTCATATAAACAGACGTACATCTTTTTCATAACCAATCTATATTCACAGATATAGATATATCAATCCTTTTTCGTTTCATTATCCAAACCAATTCATAGATATGGTTCTCTATTCATCCAGACAGTTCATAATGAGACTCCAACTCATGTTAACAATATTCTGATCATAATCACTTAATATGAGACTACAACTCACATTAAAACGCTTCCATTACTTCAATTATCTACGTTATGCAAACGTAATCAAGATTTCGAGACTTTCACCCTGGACACTCCGGCCAACTTAATTATCAATGGAGTCCATCCCCTATCTCCTCCCAAACAGGTTTGAGAGTACATCCCATATCTCCCGGTAAACCTTGGAGTACATCCTCTATCTCCTCCCAAACAACATACATATGCAATGTATTTAAACACTTATCATATACAATGATCAAGCAAAGCACATATTCAATGTGTTATTCCATCCGTCATATTCAATGACACACTCAATTGATTAGTTTTAATTCACCTAATCATCATGCAGTGTCTACAACAATCAAGACTATCCTCCACCGATAGCCCAAAACATTCATTTCTAAACAGATAATAAATTCATAAAACAGATAATTTCTCAACATTCTCATAGGTGAGTGATAAACCAATCCAACTACACCATTCAATCACATAATTTTCCAATTTCATTATTTCCAAACCAATTGCACATTCCCATAATTAATTTCATTAATTATACCAATGACCCAATTTAACCCAACTTAGACATTTTCCCCATATTCTCAATATTGACCCAAAGGTCCAAATATCATCAATAAACATCCATGACCTCATTTTAACATCCATATACACATGTATAGTTCACAAGGAATAAAACCCCACTTTACACATTTCAAGTTTTGAAACCCTAACACCCAAAATTTCCCAACTTCAACATTAAATCAAAATGACTACATGTTTATGTCAAAGGCCATAAATATGAGTAGTTATCCCTACCTCAAATTTCGGAGCTCAAAGGAGAAGAAGGACAAAACTCAAGATGCTCCGATCACCAACTTTTTCGGATCAAAACGAAGGCCACGCCAAGCTCCACACTTTTTACAAAGGGACTAGGGTGGAAGATCACTAGAGCTAGATGATTTCGTAGAGAGAAGATGTATGCTAGAGAGAGGAGCTCTCAAATGAGGGTTCTAAAAAGCTAGAGAGAGTCAAAAAAGTGGTTCAAAAAGCTTCATCTCGGACTGATATACATCACAGTCCCCTCGAGCGTGGAATGCCCCGCTCCAACGTCAGACACAGACTCCCGCTCGAACGTCAAAAGCGCCGCTCGAGCGTCCGATGACCTGTAGGAAAAAAATACTGAAGACTGAATAATCCTGCTCGAGCATCAAACTCCCCACTCGAGCGGAGGAACAAAAGCCAAAGGGCCCGCTCGAGCGTCAAAAGCCCCGCTCAAGTGTGAAGGCCAAAATCTGGGCATAAACCAATTGTTTCTAAACACAACCAACCTGTTTCAAACTTGCCCAACACAACCCAAAACTCAAATACAAAGAGTAAAGGATGGAAACGAGAATAAGACAACAACACACATCCACGGAACAGAGTCCGGAATACAATAAACAATGAAAGGAAAACTGGGATCGCTATAATGTGATTCTTTATAAAATGAAGTATAAAAAGGCAAAGAGAATGGAACATAAATTTTGACTTTTTGTATTAGCTTTTTGGCTTATTCAGGCCTTGTTTGGAAACTCAAATTTAGCCAAAAAAAACTATTATAAGTTGTCAAATTATTATTTCTATTTTTTATACGTCTTTTCATAAAAAATTACTTATAAAAAACAAATTCTGAAATGAGTTCTTGGAAACTTCCAAATAAGGCATATATTTTTTTTTCAAACTACCTTTTTTTTAAATTATAACAAAAATTTTTATTTTTTTGGTCCGCCTTGTTTAAACGAATCTAAAAAGTAAAAAAGAATTCAAAAAATAAATAAAAATTTAAAATAAAGCCCATAAAAATCACTATTTTTTTTACTTATTTTTCACTAGAATCTAGAATCTAGATGTGGGTACTTGTATCAAGCCCAATAGGTGGCAAGCCTTACAGGTGCCACATCATCAAAACCCCACCCACGTGGTAGACCAATAAGGCACCACGCGGGCATGTCGTACGTTTGATACATGACGAGCCCTACAAGCACCATGTGCCAAGCTACTACGCAAAACCAAGACTATATGCTTAGCCTAAGCGAGAGCATACATATAAGCCCAAATATATCCAAATATGAAGAGCCCTACAATAGGCAGCACCATGGCCCCGCAAGGCCCATGGTACTTCATACCTCGCTCCAAGACCAAACAACAATACAATCAGCCCCCGGTTCACTTGGACTTGGATTAATAAACACTGGCTCTCCTAAACATAAAGACAAGCTCGTGACCCATTCTCCTACTTGGAAGTAAGCCCCTGGCTCTCCTAAACATAAAAATAAGCCTACGGCCCATTCTCCTACTTGGTCGGTTGAAAGCGAACCCCTGGCTCTCCTAAACACTAAGGTGGCCTTTAGCCCATTCACCTACTTGGACACCTGGGTTGGAAGCAGGACCCAGGCACTACTACTCGGGATCATCAGAGGATACTGGACTGGCGGCTAAGGTCATGGGATCGTCGAGATGGTTGTCTTCTCGCTAAGACAACTCTATCTCGACCAGGCTTAAAGAAGAGGCAACAATGACCTTATGTTCATGTCACCCGATGCATATACGAAACGTTACTTTCCGCCTGCCATAAAACGTTGCTCTCTGCCTGCTGTCAAGCTACAGACTGCAGAAGGGCTTATATCACTTCTGGCAGAGTTAAGGAGAACGAGCTACCTGTCCAACAATTTTCTTGGGCTCCAATACTCCTGTGGCCTATATAACGTATCGTACATGCAGCGAGACACAACAATAACACAACTTCATAATTCTAACACACTAAGTCTCATATTCAAACATCCCCTCTTACACTCCATATCAGTGTTCAAGGTCCATCACTGCCAACCTCTCATTTTCCAAGCTTGCCTTGATCTTCTCCTCTCTACCTCTGATGATCTCAGGCCATTGAAGTGCTCGCCATCTTCTTAGACTACCTCTGACCACACCTCTCACCCACACTAGAATCTAAAAGAAAATTTTAGAAATTCACTAAAAACAAAGATAAACTAACAAAAAAAAGTCACTAAAAAAACAAGGGATTAGATTCTCTCAAGTTGACCATCCATCTTGAGAGATTGTTTGGGTTTGATAAGCCCAATTTTGGACTAATTTTGGTGATCCAAACCGTTTATTTTTAAGACTCACTGAGTAGAATATGTATGCAAAAAATTAAGATGATTAGACATCAATATCTATATGTTTGAATCACATTTATTTTTAAAAAAATAAACACCAATTGTAATTTCAAGAATAACCATCCATTTTTTAGTCTTTAAACTCAATGAAATGATATTTTAAACATTTTATATATACTTACATTGAATTTAATGATTTACCATTTTGTGCAGGGATAATTTCAGCACTATGATGAAGGGTAAAGCTCTGTGGAAGAATAGCGCACTTGTGGAAGAATAGCGCTTTGGGAAGCAAAGTCTGCACAGATAACAAACGGTGGAGTTGCCCGATCGGAGTTTGGTCAGAAATCCCTCCAATGGTAAAGTCAAGGACTAGGAAAGAAGAAGAAGAGAAGATGCAAAGAAAATGTATATGTTCAATGTCTGGATTTTAAATCTCCTTTGAGTGAATAATGCTTGTCTTTTATAGGAGAAGGTTGCTTCTCCTCTAAGATCACTCCTTCTCCACCATCTGTCCATGTTTGTCTTATTTGTGATTGTCTCCTATTAAAGGAGAACAACCACTTCGCCTGACACTCAAGTACACATGTCTGTCATGTGTGCGCCTTGTCCTTCTACGCCTTTATGTCTCTGCCTTCTGTTCAAATAGAGAGAAAGGAGCAGAGTTGTTTGTCTCTTAAGAAAGATCTTTTGTGTGTTGGCCTTCTTTAAGTTGGTCCACTTCAGAGTGGTTGTCCAACCTAGAAGTCCAACTTGTTGCTTAGCCTGCTTTAGAGCAAGCCATACATGTTAAGCCAAGGTTTGTAGCTTGATTTTCTCAAAGCGGGCCTAGCATTGGGCCGAGCTTCGTAGCTTGTCCTGCTTCAGAGCAAGTGTCCAGCCCTTAGGTCGAGCTCCAAGATTGTCCTGCTGCAGTGACGGTCTAGTGTTGGGTGGAGCTCCAGGACTTGGTTTTATCCCACTTCACATTTTTAGCCGATTTTACTTATTAAGCAAATGTTTAGATTGAAAATAAATAAAAAATTATAATTTAAATTGACAAAACTAAAAATTCATAATATATACTATTATATTAAGTGAATGATGAACTTAATGTCTAAGTTTTGCTTACTTCTCTTTATTCCACGTGTTCTTCATTTTTATATTTAAAAAAATAAATAAATAATAGAAAGGAGACTCAAACTTAAGATCTTTAATTACACACAATATATAATACATATTTTATTTTATTTTTACTTACTATCATATTTTTTTTGTATTTTTTTTTAATGAAGGGATAAATTGATACATTATAGACCATGTTGGAAATGAGTGGCTCTCTTTGGCTTTATCACAAACTGCACTAAAATAATGGGAAAAAAAAATGACCCAAATGTTGTGGGTTGTGGGGTTGTGAGTGTGGCTCTCTCAACAACATAGCCATGGCTTCAACAACCACCATTACACCCTCCATTTCTTCTCTTTGGTACCACCACTACTTCACTAAACCCACTTCAAAATTCAGCTTCACCTTCAAGATCAGAGCATCATCACTATCATCCATGGCCACCACCACCACCACCAAGGTGGTTCCGGCCGTCATAGTCGGCGGCGGACGGGTTGGACGAGCTTTGCAAGAGATGGGCAACGGCGATGATGTGTTGGTGAAGAGAGGCGATTCTGTGCCGCTTGACTTCCCTGGTCCCATCTTGGTATGCACAAGGAACGATGATCTCGACGCCGTCCTTCAGTCCACTCCTCAGTCTCGATGGACCGGTAGGTACTATTTTACCCACCTCATTGATTCATTCATTCATTAGGGAAATTATTCAATTTGAGCATTAAGCAACTATAAGTTTAGATGATAGATTTTATTTTCCTACTGTTTGTGTCATTTTAGACCATCTCCAACCGTTCGCCAAATCCAACATCAAATTCAAATTTGATGAAAAAAAGCTACCTTTTGTGCTCCAAAGGATGCACCAAAACAGTATCAAATTGAGAATGAACCAAAACTGTCACCAAACTGAGAATGGGCTGGGTCTTTCATCAAAACACTATTCAGTACTGTTGTATTTTCATTACCGGATGACACACCAGATGACCCACCGGATGACCAATTTTCGCAAAATTTTGTACAGATTTTACACTGAGGGGTCGACCACCCGGATGACCCTCAAGCTTCTCAAGCTTTGTACAGAATTTACTCTTACCGATCGACCGGCCAGTCGTCCCCTCGGACGTCCAGTGCGTTTTGATGAACACCATTGGAGTGATTGATATTAGATTGAGCCAAACGTCTTTTTTTACTCAAATTTGGTAAAAAATTTGTTCAACCGTTGGAGATGCTCTTAGTCAATACTCAATTTTCACTTTTAATTTTAGATTTTATGACCAATTGATAATGCCATTAAAATTTTTGATAGAAATATTCACTTGAGTTGGTTGAGATGAAATTACTGAATTGATCAAATTTATAATTTAATTTGACCCCCAAAAGCATGACACGTGCAGCTCACCTGCATTTGCCATAAAAATGTTAATAATTCGAATTAGCTGAATTAATTTGAGAAAAAATTAAAAATTCAGTTAAAATCAAGTCAGTTGAAATTATAGGGACAAAATGACACGAGCTGAAGTACTGGCTGTGTAATTTGCCCTGGATTTTAAGATTGAATTTGATGACCTTATAGTTGTACAAAAATCAAAATTATAATTTTACTCAACTCTATTTTCCCTTTAATTATTTTGATATATCTATAATAGCCAACTCTCCTGTAATTTTATAAAGTTTAAACTCAATTTGCTTCATTTAAAATTCATATATCCAAACTAAACAAAAGGGTTTTTTTTTTTTTTGTTGAGAAGTTATTGTTGGGGTGTTATGGATATATGTTTGTTCTTGTTTCTGTCTTTTTGCTGTTGTTATATGTGGAGAATAACATGCAGAGGTTACTGATCATGATTTCTTGTTTTTCTGGTGCGTTTTAGCTTTGGAATTTATGTAGTTTATGTTGCATTTTGACAGTTAGTGACATTAGAATATGATGTGATTTGGATTTTCACCGGTTAAAATATAGTCACCAAATTCATTTTATTCAATCACACTATAGTTAATAGCAATTTTTTTACATTGAATTTACCTTGTCCATGATGGTTACTTGACATTGTTCAGTTTAGTTGATGTTTCACCATTGAGATAAATGATTCAAAATTTCAACTATATGATAGGATTGAGCAATCTATGATGCTATTTTGATTTGATATTTCACTTTTGTATAGTGGATTACTTTGTTAGTTGCAATAATTTTATTCTTGATTTGAATGGCTTGATATGTGAGAACAATGTGATATCACATTTTGAATATGTGTCCTTGCATAATTTATTTGGGTTTGTTTGATGGGTTTGTCTTATTGTGATGGACTCTAACAATATAGCAGATTTGGTTTTCTTCCAGAATGGAATGCTGGAGCCGTGGTTTCAAAGTAAAGGTTTGGGTGATGCGGATCAAGTTTTGGCATATTTTGCAGTAGCAAAGCTTGGTGAACCTCCTATTGACGGGAAAACAGATACTAACCCTGAGGGATTGACCGCGGTTTTTGGAAAATGGGCATCTGCAGTGGCATCAAGATTACGTGCTGGTGGCCTTTCTTGCAAGGTAAAGGATGATTTTTGAATTTTTGGGACTAGTTTATGTTCTAGGTATTAGCCTTGAGCTTCACCTTGTAGTTACCAAAACAAATTTGCCACTTCTGACCCAGGAAAATGTTTTGTTTTTGCACGACATTTTATGTGAAAAACTTTTGAGTTTTTCCATAATCGGTCTGTGCTAGTTCATTGTATTTTGAAAGAGCTTTTTAAAGATATAAGATTCATCAGAATCCAATTTAAAATGAAAATTTGGTAGCCATTTTGCGAAAAATGCGCACTGGACTTGGACCGAACCAATTTTATTTGATGTTTGCACCTTGTGGAAGCACACCAGTTTCTTCAACCATGGTTTGAGGTACTGAATTTTAAGTGTATGCATACTAGTTTCTTTCTTCATTTCCTTCTTGTTTTCTGGTACGGAAAATATCTCCGGTCTCCCTCTGCCTGCTAGTATTTTACTAGCAAGAGGATTTCTCTCTCTCTGTCTCTCTCTCTCATGACATTTTTTTTTTTTGATTTGTATCTCCATTGTTGGGGAGGAGTTGACATTATCTATGCCATTAACCAAAAGTAGGAAGCATAATTTCTTTATTTAGTAGTACAAATTACAACTTTTTTCTTCACAGTAGAACACACTTCCGTTTGGTGTTTTGGTAATATGTACCAGGTCCTTGACAAGGAAGCTTTTCAGAAGCAGATGTTGGAGAAACTTATATGGATATCAGCATTCATGCTAGTTGGAGCACGTCATCCTGGAGCAACTGTTGGTGCTGTTGAGAAGGAATTTTGCTCAGAGGTACGGCCACTTGAACTAACTGCCTAACGTTAGTTATTTGAACAGCAAAAGAAACTGGAAAATCTGTCTTTTGTTATGATTTTGGCTGTTCTTACCCGTTGATCAATAACATCTCTGGAAGGTGCCTACTTGCTTGGTAAAATCGTTTGGAGTTCATACAAGAAACTTTGGTTCGAGTTTCCTGGAATTAGAAGTCTTGAATGCTTACCAGATTGGGAAATTTGAACACTGGGATTAGATTTAGAACATTGCCTTTACCCACTAACAACAACTATTTTTCTGACAAAACAACACCAATGCCTCTGCCACCAACACCACCTCCAACAGAGATTTATTTTTTTTCCTTTTTGTAGGACTGTCTATGATGTTGGCCCACTTTTTAATGGACTTTTAGCTTGTAAGAAATTACCAAATCAGTGATTATAAATCATGTAAAAGATGTTCTTATTTGGACCAAAGTTACTCTCAAAAGGTACTTTTCCATGAACACAGGTGCATGACTGGAATGGGCAATTTGATTAACATCACTACATTAACTGAGACTAGTGATGCCGAAAATTCAAATAATACTCTTCCTGTGCCATGGGAAGTATAACAAACAAAAATAGGTTTTATACATCAAAAATGTCTTCTGGTATGTGTACTGTAGTTGGTCGGAATCTCTTAAGCTATTGTTGGCTTCTCTAGACTCTAACCTGATCTAGCTGTCAACTCTGGTTGGCAATCTCAGGTTATGAGGAATTCTGTAGAAGAATTTTCTTGTTGGGTAAACTGGTTGGATTACTTGGGATCCATTTACATGATTTGGGTTACGTCGGTCCCCAGAAGCCCTGCTTGTCAACTCCGCCCTTCGTTGTCAGTGGGCGTCAGCATTAAAATCTATTACTTCTATTACTGTTTTTCATGCATGTGGCTGCCAATTTGGCTATGTAGCCAACTCTTAAGTGAAGGCATGATCTAATTGATATTTTACGCTTACAGGTGTGTAGCCTCATCACGGAACTAGCATCTGCAGCAGCTGCTGAGAAAGGGATAGCTTTTGAAGACGGCATGGAGGATAGATTATGTGCTTATGCACGTGCCGTTGCCCACTTCCCAACTGCAGTTAAGGAGGTAAATATTGTTAAAATTTCCAAAAACTATTATTATGATTTGGTGAATGATTTTGTTTTGACTCTGAATTCTATTGATTACTTGCAGTTCAAGTGGAGAAATGGTTGGTTCTATTCCCTTTCTGAAAAGGCAATTGCACAAGGGAAACCAGATCCATGCCCGCTACACACGACATGGCTAAAAGAACTAAAAGTTGTCTAGAATGGACTTTATTGTACCGTATGTATCCAACAATTTACTTGGAGGATTAACTGGCTCATATTTTATTGAGTTGTTGATAATGCTTTTGAGTTAAGGGACCCCAAGTTCTATCCACAACGTGCATTTTTCGAATGCAGTAAATTTACCGACATGTGATTGGATAATAGAACTAGAAAGCAAATTTAGGCAGTATTTTGATCAAAATTGTGATGCTCTTTCAAGGTTTTTAGGGATTATTTCATATCAAATTCATTGGTGACTTGTACCCTGTGGATGGCACTTTATGGGTCAATTTAGTCATATGCTATTGATAAGCATGCATTTAGTAGTAATGCTTGGTATTCTTCTGTGAAGTGAACATGCAAATGGTTTCTCTTGATTCCTTTTATTTGGACACAACATTTTTTAAGTTTTTTAAGTTTTGGTACGAGGAAAAGCAATAGTCCATGGAAACCAAACTTACTTGGGTGTTCAGACTAAAGTCTTACAGCTCCATCTCGCCATCACCTCCTCACTGCCACCACCACTACCCCACCACCACTATCACTGCCGCCATCCTACCACCATTAATACAACATTAAGTTTTAAAGTTGCAACCAAACCTAGGAGTTATTTTCTACTACATTTTTTTGAAAAAGTTTTCTGCGGAAAATGCTTTTTGCAACTTCAAATTGGGGGAAAGGGTGTTGCTAAACCCATGTTGTTGCTGCATCCGGATACTGGGAACTCATGTTTGTGTTCGGAGTAATACACTATGAATACTTCAATAAGGTTAATAACCATATCTCCTAACTGCAAACATGTTTTGTTTTTCAAAAAATAGGGAACACAATTTAGGTCATCCCATAATGGCAAGCGAAATTGTAACTCACCATCATCTCAACAAACGGCGGTATTTTTGGAAATATGGACATTAAAATTTGTAATTTTTGGACAAATCACTCGAAACAGAAGAGTTGCTTTCTAATGTCCAAATGAACAAACAATATTTCAAGCATAATATGTTTTTTACATTCCCTTGTAATATCACTCCATCAAATAACTTATCGATGCCAAAAAGGAATAGTGAATCCCCACAAAAACAGAATTTTGCAACAGTAACTTTGACACTAATCCAATATGCTTCACAACCACAAGAACTCCATTGATGCGGTCTAGGAGTTCCGACTTTTGAATGTAAATGCTGAAAGATGTCTTCAAATCATGTCTAAGAAAGCAGGATACTGATAGCAAGAGCAGAGCACCCATCAAATTGTTTTGCAAGAAGAGTTGCAATGAATCTGCTGGACCTAAACCCAAACAAACACTATGGAGTTTGGGCACCAGTTATGATGGCCAATCAAAATTCATTTAATAATGATGCTCAAAAACAAGAGGGAATAATGAGGAATGATTTGAGCTGATCATATATTATCCAAGTACTGGTACGTATAGATAAACTGTTCCAGCACAGAACAATTTCATTTTCTACAAATGACATTTTTGAAAAATATTTTGAACTGGTTGTAATTGGCAATGGCAGTGGCAGAGTAGTGGTGCAATGATGATAGCATTGGTAAGACTCTAGTTTGAAAAATATTTTCTAATCAAATTAACTTAAGAAAACATTTTTCGTTGAAACAGATAGACGGTGAATGCTAATATAGTAAATAAAATTCATATAGACGATTAAAAGCTAATGTAGTAAGCTCCCTGCATGATTTCATTGCGAATTTATCATTTTCTATATATAACCTCTGTTCATATAATCACAAACGGTACTACAACATTCAAATATTGTTTAAACATTTATTGATGGTTTATTTTTTTAAAGGGATACTGAGGAAGCATAGTACTAATATTGCCACTAAAAGAAGTGGCTCACCAAGAGCAATAGACGGGCATAGTTCATTGAAAGATGATGTAAATGACAAATTTCACCGACTTCTGTGCAATATTTCTTCAGCAACGGGGAATGTTGGAAAAATATCCACGGGAACCTGAAAGACGTCGAAAACAAGAAATAAATAAGAAATTACCAAGCAGTAATATATTTGTTAGAATCTGGATCCTCTCTAGTGTGTCGCCCTATGGTGCCCTAAAACGTCGTCATTTGGGGGGGAAGGGGAAGAAGAAAGGGGCAGGTTCTGATTTTTTGGTTTAAATTTTGCTCCAAAATAACACCGTTTTGGGGCACTACAAGGTGCACTGCAGGCAACACCCTACAGAGGATCGGATTCATATTTGTTAATGCTTAATATGTGGGACCTAGAGGTTTGAAGAGTTTTTTCCATCATAGGTTGCATTTTTACTGCGTTTGAGATCAAAAGATATTTAAAGAAATAGTTACCTCTGCTTTTGGACTTGTTATTTGTAAAATTGATTGATACCAAAAATTTTAAGATTAGGTTTAAGGAAGGAAGGGATGCAATAACTGTTGTCCATTTCTTTCAGATATTTATCAGTCTTTCCCTTGGAAGCTCAAGAGAGAAATGAGCAAAACTCGTGTTTTTTCTTTGAAGGTTTGTTCAGAATATCAAGATTCTTTTCCCAATGATGTTGATTACTATTCCCTTCCCTCAAGCATTTTAATAAAGAAAATGATGGCAAGGGAAAGAAAGACATTCTAGATTTTACACAGACAATTTAAGGGTGCTAATTCTGGTTATTTCACACCACTGAAGCAAGTTTAAAATGACTTGACAAGTCATCACATATCTAGACTTCGCGGAAATCTGGTCAACCAATGGTCTCTAGATTAAAGGATCATCAGTTATAAAGCTCTACGTACATTAAACAAATATTTGACTAAAATAAACAAAATGTGGTACTAGGACTGTGTTTTACAAAATGAAATATATAAACTGACTCTAAAAATGTACAGAAGGCGTGGTGGAAGTCAGCAATTCGAGCCTGAATATCCCTAAACCCAATGTGATCCTTTTTATTTTGACTTTCCTCCCCCACGGTGATTGAATGAGAATGGCTAAGAGGCTTGTGGGATTGACGTGAGTGGGCAGGGATGCTATATTTCTGGGAGCAAACTCTGTGAATATGAACAACTTCAATCAAGGAGTAACGAAGAATACTCCTATCCAGAAAACCATTTCAACTACTAGCCAACTTGGCAAAAAGAACTGAAAGTCGACCGTAAACTTGACATGCTTTCTAGCTTGGCTTGTGTTATTAGGGCTAATGCAAATTAAACATAAACTTACAAATTAGCAACTAAGGAAATGTCGAAGCTTTTACCTGAACCTTTTCCAATTTTTCCAATGCAACTTTCAGTGGCTGTGTCATTGTACAGTACTTTTGAAGAAGAGCTTTTGCTGCTTTTTTGTCACCTTTGGCCTGTATTGTAAGTATCTCCCTACTCAAGCTCTCAACTTCTACATCAACCTTTTAAGACAAGAAAACTTACGCCTTCAAATTTTCAATCTGGATAAAATTATGCACAAAGAGGAAATTTGAAGCAGCTATACCTTAGCAAAGTTGACAGATAATGTTTCGTCCGGATGCAAAATAAAGGCTCCTTTCTCAAACAACCAGTTAAACTGTAGTGCCTGTCCTTTCCTGATGACATTCAGTGAGAATACCGTGTTCAGTGGAAAATGAATTTGTACAACGTTCAGAGTGTGTGAACAAAGCACAATATTTGAATGGTCCAAAACAGGGCTCTGCATCCAACAAAATGTATTTGACCCCACCCGAAGTTGCAGACCCCATTGTTTTGGGCCAATCAAGAGGTGTGTTTTGTTCACACTTTGAAAACCGGACTCGCGTTCAGTGGGATCGGGATTGAAATGTGTTTTAGAGCATGATGTAATAGCTAGCTTACCCATGAGCTTCCTCTAGCCCAAAACGTACTGAGCGGAAGCATCCCGCAAGGAAAGAGACATACATGGATTTGACCAGACTCTTCGGAAGTAATTCCTGTCTCCCTCAAAAGTAAAGGTTAGAAGAAAAAAAAAGGGCCATAAATTTGGAAATCAGTATTGAAAGTGAACCGCAAAAATTACCTCAAATATGAATTTACTTGCAACCAAAAAATTAGCATTGGACTAGCAAATAACATTTTCAATAAAAATGAGAACCAACATTGTTCAACCTATAGATGCATTTGTCTCTGATGGTAGGTCCAGACTTGGAGATAGAGGTCCTTTCTTGTAGAGAAACTTCTAGTAGTGCTTGTTTTTCCCATGGGCATTGGACTAGATTTGATTAAACTTAATCTCGATCTTTCATGTCCCTAAACCAAACTGGCACCATTCAAACTAAACCTGTTCACTAAATGAACATTTTATAGCTATTTGATTTAGATGATCAAACTTGGCACGACTCTGAAGGAGGAATACCCAGAAGAAGGTCCTCATGGCACCAGTCATCTTGACTAAAGCTACAGCATATTGTTGGGTGGGATCAAGATGCCTATCATGGCTGTATCAAGCATGTAGAGAAACTTCTAGTAGTGCTTGTTTTTCCCATGGGCATTGGACTAGATTTGATTAAACTTAATCTCGATCTTTCATGTCCCTAAACCAAACTGGCACCATTCAGACTAAACCTGTTCACTAAATGAACATTTTATAGCTATTTGATTTAGATGATCAAACTTGGCACGACTCTGAAGGAGGAATATCCAGAAGAAGGTCCTTATGACACCAGTCATCTTGACTAAAGCTACAGCATATTGTTGGGTGGGATCAAGATGCCTACCATGGCTGTATCAAGCATGAAGCCTTTTTTTTTTTTTTTTGAGAAATTGAACCCACTCCAAGACTCGGGCAACTGTGACGCCTAACGGCCAACAAAAATGGTTAAGAACCAACCTATGCATTTTATTCAATCGAGCTGAGTAGAATAGTTATCCAAATCTGCCTGCACTTTTCTCTGTTTCCATTTGATACCCATCAACCAGACAAACAAGTAAGCCAAAAGAGGATTTAGCACAGCTGAGGGTAAGCCCGAATTCAAGAACTAGACATATGATGTTAAACAGTGATTTAAAATAATACTAAAAATAATAATAATAAGAGACAGACGTTATCTGTGGCTTGTGAGGCTTTGCAGTTCATCATCAAATTTTCCTCAGGCTATAAAGGCATTAAATGTACTGGTTCCAGTTCCCAAGACCCATCATCATGAAAGAACCATCACAACTACAGTAGCTTATCATGTGGCCAAATATATAAGAAAAATGTACCCAAAGAGTCTGAAGTGAAACATAGAAAACAGATTTAAAATCGTCATTCTATGTTCACAACTTCATCCTTTCCTTTGTCTGTTCATGAAAATGAATATCTGAACAAAAAAAGTTTCCAACAAAAAAATCCAAGTTATCCATATTGTTAGAATTTCCCATCTTTACCTTCACCTACTCCACTACACACTCCACTTCACCTACCTCCACTTCACCACACACTCCACTTCACCTAACCCACTATCACCTCCACTACACCTACTACCACATTTTCTTCTATATATAGATTGTATAGGAATTGTAATTTATCAATAATAGTCAAGTTTAAAATAATTAGTCTGTACTTCAATTGTTTAACCAAACATCGGATTAATAATTTTATTGGACTATTAGTCCAATCCCAAGCTCATGTCCACCCAAACAAACATGATATAAGTGTACTGGTTCCAGTTCCCAAGACCCATCATCATCAAAGAACCATCACAACTACAGTAGCTTATCATGTGGCCAAATATATAAGAAAAATGTACGCAAAGAGTCTGAAGTGAAACATAGAAAACAGATTTAAAATCATCATTCTATGTTCACAACTTCATCCTTTCCTTTGTCTGTTCATGAAAATGAACATCTGAACAAAAAAAGTTTCCAACAAAAAAATCCAAGTTATCCATATTTTAATACTTCTGTTTATCAACAAACTACATGAAGAAATAATTTTGTTGACTTCCACAAGACTAATAGTTTTCAGTAAATTAATTTATTAAAAATAAATAAATCACTTTGCTTGGTAAAGGTTTTCCAAAAACACTTTTCAGAAAATTCTACTTTCTTATTTTCCGTGTTTTTTTGTTTTTACTAAATTTTTTAATATTTTAAGAAATTTTTTTAATTTTTAGACATACATAACATAAATATACCTAAAAAGTAAAAAAATTGTGAAAAAAAACCTCTTAAAAATTCACTAAATATCAAAAATACAAAAAAAAAAAACGAGAATTCAGTATATTTTTTATATTTGTATGTATTTATTAATATTTTTGTGCAAAATTTTTACTTTTTAGATACATTTAAGTAAGGTGCATCTAAAAAAGTAAAAAAAATGTTTAAAATTTTAAAAATATTCACTAAAAACAAAAAATTTAAAATCGTCATTCTATGTTCACAACTTCATCCTTTCCTTTGTCTGTTCATGAAAATGAACATCTGAACAAAAAAAGTTTCCAACAAAAAAATCCAAGTTATCCATATTTTAATACTTCTGTTTATCAACAAACTACATGAAGAAATAATTTTGTTGACTTCCACAAGACTAATAGTTTTCAGTAAATTAATTTATTAAAAATAAATAAATCACTTTGCTTGGTAAAGGTTTTCCAAAAACACTTTTCAGAAAATTCTACTTTCTTATTTTCCGTGTTTTTTTGTTTTTACTAAATTTTTTAATATTTTAAGAATTTTTTTTAATTTTTAGACATACATAACATAAATATACCTAAAAAGTAAAAAAATTGTGAAAAAAACCTCTTAAAAATTCACTAAATACCAAAAATACAAAAAAAAAAATACGAGAATTCAGTATATTTTTTGTATTTTTATGTATTTATTAATTTTTTAAAATATTTTTGCGCAAAATTTTTACTTTTTAGATACATTTAAGTAAGGTGCGTCTAAAAAAGTAAAAAAAATGTTTAACATTTTAAAAATATTCACTAAAAACAAAAAAAACACGAAAACCAAAAAAACTCAGTTTTTAAAAAACTTAATCCAAAAAACTCAAACCAAACACACCGAAAAGTTTTCAGTAAATTATACCATGATTCTGAATAGCAATATTTGTGTTTCAAATCTCTACCTGGTAAAAGTACGGCCAGATCAAAGCTTTTTCTTACTTATTTTCCTAATCCTAATAAACTACATGTACACAATAAGAACATGATGCTAGGTTTTTTACAGAATCAAAAAGCACATTTAGATACTAGAGAATGCCATAATCCTACTAATGTAGTAAAATAGTTGCACCAGGTAAAGCACAAGTGTAAGATGATCTCGTAGACATTGATTAAGAGATCACAGAAAAATTTAATCAAATAAATAGTTACTGACCTGATCAATTAGAAATCGTAGGGCCCAGAGGCCAACAATATCAGCTTTAGCTTCTTCCATAGCTGAGTGCAGTTCTTGCAGCTCCTGTGTCGCAAAATAGATGGAAAATCAGAGCACATCAGAAATCATATTTCATTAGAAAAAATGTTCTTCAACAGAGCCCTTGTATTGGTTCAGTATCTTGGCTTTCATTGAGTTTTTCCTTGTAATAATTTCTATTTTCCTTGGTTTCTTTTGGTTTTGGTTTGCTTAGAGTATTTTGGGGGACTCTTGAGTATTTAAAACTTATCACTGTCAATTTCTCTCTCTGGTACTGAGCATCTTGAGAACAGCAGGCACTCACAGATGTTTCGCCAGACCTCTTTGCCTGCTTTGCTTTTGTTTACAAGTGTCACCTCCTTGGTGCTTTTTGGTTAATGATATATACATATTGATTTATATTTAATAATTATTTAATCATTTTAAACTTGGCCGGACCCACTGTTCGCCAGTGTGAAAATCTGCCCCATGCCTTTCTTTGGCCCCCCAATGGAGGATTCCTGCCCCCATACATTTCTAACCTGAGGCCACATATATGTACCCATCCATCAAATAATTATTAATTCATCAATTCTAAAACAAAGTGACATATGGGAAAAATATGTTTTAATATTGAAGAATAATTCAATATCGCAAAGAGCAATGATGCCCTCTAAACTAGTTGCAAAACATAAATAAATGAGAAGCTAACAACCAACAAGTGAGGAGGAAGTTACAAAGAAAGAGCATGAAAATGATGACAATGCAACTGACCAATCTAACTGTCGATTTTTCACCATTTGGAAGTGTTATGGTATGAGGCCCAATCCCATGGCAACACTCATGGCAAATTGTGTGGGTGAAGAAAGAATCAAAGTCTACATATTTCTGTTGTTCCTTCGTAATACATACATCAGATATGGGCTGAAGAATATGCTTGAACCTGGTAGAGAAAAAAGACCAAATGAATTCTGTAAAAATAAATTGATAGAGAGAGAATAAATTGTATGTATTATGATTGATTTTTATTGATATCTATTACAATGATTCATGATTCCTATATATAGAAGAGGGTGAGTGTGTAGTAGGTAAGGAGTAGGTGAAGTGGAGGTGGTAGTGGTGTAGTGGGTTAGGTTTAGTGGAGTAGGTGAGGTGGTAGTGGTGTAGTGGGTTAGGTTTAGTGGAGTAGGTTTAAGTGGGTGAAGTAGGTGGAGAGTAGGTGGATTTTAACAAATTCAATTTTAAACAAGGGCATATATGAGATAACAAAAAATTTCCCATCTCAATTAATAAGAAGTTCCAATAATTGCCAACAAGAGACATCTGTTATCAGTTTTATATTTGAACATGAGCATAGTTGCTTCAAAGAAAAGAATTGTACTTCGCCTCTGAAACATTTTTAAGCATGACCATGGATGTTCCCCGATCTTTCACTATACGCTCATCGTTTGGAAGGTTGAATGCAACAGTTTGAGGACCCTTCACATCCTGCAATAAAAATGAAGTTCTCAAGCTTCAGTTTTTCAACCAGATAGTTCCGGTAAACTTTGCACAGAATGGGAAACATCAGGTTCTGATAAAGTCTCATAAAAAACATAAAGGCAAACTTATATATTCTAAAACATTAGTTTTTTATTAAAAAAAAAAATTAAAAATTCAACTTGACAATATTTATTTAATGATATAAACCATTGGTTTAACCCACAGTTTAGCTATGTAGGTGATTCATACACCGTTTTATGCAAGTTCTGCAGCAATGTTTTACCATGAAATTAAAACTCGGCCCAACTAAACATAACAAATAGATCTGTCTTTCTTTTCTTTTTATATTTTTCAATTCTTTCTCATAGTTCATTTGTTTTGGCTATATTACAAAAAAAATAATAATGGGTTAAAATTCCATTTTTGGGATACAATAGCATCTTTATTGAGTCCACAATTTTCATCTAACAACAATTGAAGGTGAAGCTCTTCTACCACCATTAAGCCAGGTGTATGGCTCAACACATAATATCATGAAAATTTATCCTGAAAATAAAAGAAAAAAAGAAAAAGAAAAAAGGAGAAACAACACAAAACTAAAAGACATAAAAATGAGAATGATTACTTACAAAGGCTTACTACATAATGCACCGACATAATCCATTGGTTTCCAATATGAAATTGGTTGGATTACATGGTATCACAATCCCGTGTGTTATAACATGAACAGTTGTAATTGTGAAACTTATAGAACAACGTCATCCTATGTATGACCATATATGGAAGATTTAACCAACTAGTGGCTCATTTCAGAGTTCACATACTATTAAGTAGTATTTTCAGTAGTCTAATTGACATCAAGTTGTTTAAAGTTGATACTTTGTTAATTAAGCTGCTTAATCGTATAACCATATCTTTACGCACATCTTGCAGCCTTTCCATATTTTTTATTAGTAGGAAAGTGTTTCCCCATTCATAGAACATTATATACCAAAGATAAATAACAAATGGATACCAGAAAAAAAATGTAATGTATGAGAGATTTTTCCTCTATAATTCTCACTTGCCATGGACTCACCCCTGAATTATAGATGAGCTGGATAACACGAATAGGAGCAGCAATTATATCTTGTGATTTGTACACATTATCCATTGGAAGATTTTGTTCCAAAACCTAGAAAATATAAACCAATTAGGTGAAAACTGCACAAAAAGTGTAATTCCAATTATTGTAATAGTAATTCAATCAAATTTAATCAAGGATGAATATTCAAAAGCACCTTTAAATAATCGCCAAAGAGCTTAACTTGAGCTGTTGCTTTGTCATCTCGAACTCCAATAAATGTCTCAAATGTTGCCTAAGATGCATGTAACGAATCATAAGCCATGCGTACCATCTAAAGTTAAGCAAACTGTAACAAGAATACAAGGGCAAAAATTTATGTACATACTCATGCATGCCTTTGTGTGTGTACAATGGTAACACTGTACGTGTGTACATATTCTTGGACAAACTATAGACTGCAACTTTCAAGATATAATTGATAATTGGTTCTAGTTTAAGGGTAGCCACCTTATGCACATAATGTCTAAGATCAACAGGTCCAGCCCTCTCAGAACCCCAACTAGGCAGAAGCAACACTGCAATGCCACTCTCTCTTTTTGAACCTCTTCATTTCACCACCAAAACTCTTTAGATAGCGACTCACTTCCCTTCTTTTTTTTTTACCAAGAACCCCTTCAACTGCTTTTCTAATACAACTAGTCATCTCACACCACATAAAATTAGTTTCCTCATTCCAAATTAATTTTACTTCTTTAATCATTCTATTCTTAAAGAGAGTAAACTTTCACCTTTTAAATTTGATCAAGTGGCTATGTGAAATGAAAGTTCATCAATTGAAGCCATATACTGGTCAATAACAACTTTTAACCATCTAATTTGTGAATGTCTACTTCCCCTACTCTTTCTTTTCCATTTCCTAATGCATACATATAACACGATTAACCTATGTTGTGTAGTGAGACTCTCCTACTATGACTTTAAGTTCTTTGATCCACTCTCCTAGTAGTAAGAAAGAAATCTATTTGGCTAATATTCATCCCTCTTAAAATGTTATTAAACATTCATCCCTCTTCACAAAGCTTGTGTTGACTATCACAAAGTCATATGCCATTGCAGGTTCTGAAGGTAAGTTGTGGCTGCAATCACTTACTTCAGGTTGTTTGACCAGTAACTTTGATGTTCATAATTCAAGAAGCCATAGGTTAGGGATCTGTAAGAATGAATGTTGCTTTCTGTCTATATCTCATTTTTCTCAGTTTTACTCAACAGCTTTTGATGCAATAAAGATAGCAAACCAATTTTCGTTTAGGAAAGGCAGATGCTCAATTTCCAAGATAAAACATATACATAGAAGGAGATGATGGGATTAGATTCTGATTATGCCAATATATTTGACAGTAGGGTCATCTAATTCTGTCTACGACTGGATTGGTTTGCAGGCTTCTTTGTAATGGGTTTATTTTAGTGGGCATGGGTTTTTCTTAGATCCCAGTAGTTTCCAATGTAAGCATTGGGCCAAGTAAGCTAAGATCTAACACAAATATGCTATAATAGAGGGTATAGGGAAGTTTTGAATTTTTTAGAGAATAAAATTCAGCTTATATTTTCCCTTTTAATTCTATCATTACTTCATTCCTAGGATTTCTTTTGAAGCCAAGAGTTTGTGGATTCAAGCCTCTATATGCCGGAACTGCAGATTTCTGACCAAAAACCAGTTTCTTTCATGCTTTTGGCCTTGATCCAAGTTTACTTGCATTAACTTTCCATCAGAGTTAGGTATAGTCATAAACTGGATACATCAAGCTTGAAACAATAAACCTTCGACTTCATCATCCCTCTGTGATTTTTTAGCCTATTTCCACAAGTAGTGGATAAGATTAACATTTGATTAGTTTGAAAGCAGTGGATAAGATTGAAATTCTCATCCAGAGAACCGCATATTATAGATCCAAGAACATAAAGTTTTCCTTGACAATGTAGAATGGGAAAGAAAACTCAATTAGAATATTAAAAAAAGGCAATCAAGTACACAAGGCTCCCACTAAAGAAAGGTCTGGGGAGGGCAAGATGTGCACGAATGCAGACTATGTTTAGCTGGAGGAAGGGGGAAGGGAAGAGGGGAGGGACAGAAAGGGCTTCTCTTGTTTGGTACAAAGGATAAGAGGAGTGAGGTTGTTTCAATCCGGGGCCACAAAAGGGCTTCTGCCCAATTTTGGGTGGATAAGATGTAGCAAAGACAAACCACCCTTTTTAAAAGTGTAAATTTATAACTATGCCCTTGGTAAGTTGGTCAACATTTCAATAAAAAAGAGGTACTTTTGTAAAACAACACTACAATCACTTTTTTTCCTTTCTCTCTTCTATTTCCCTTCTACCAAACAAGAAGAAGGAAACATTCAATCCCTTCCCTTCCCTTTCTTCCCATTATGCTTCTCCTTCCTTCCAAACAGTGTTAGGAATTGGTTATTCAAAACCTTATTGCACTCAGATAGTGACATGTTAGAAAAAGATGGCATAATCCCGAGCCATGCAGTAACATCATTTCTCTCAAACCAACAAAAAGATATTGAAAAAGATTATTTGGAATTAGAAGCAAAAAAAAACATTAAAAGAAAAGGCAATACGGAAGCAGAATTAGATTTATAGCTAAAAAGGTATTTCCTTTTTCAAAATGACTTTTCAGCATTTCATCTAAGCTACTCATTATAAGTAAAGAATTTGAAATAAAAGTCGTAAAATTTACATCACCAAGAATTAGGTCCATTAACAACTTTAGATCTAAGCCGAAATTGGACTACATCGAGCTATCATAAATAAGAGATGAATAAAGGTGCATAAAGATGAGCACATAAACAATACCTTGTATCCAAAAAGGGCATCTTCGTAAGTCTCATACGGGCCAATAGTAACATCCAACTTCGAGTCCTTGAGAAGGGAGGAAAAAAAAGGTTCATCAGAAATTTGGTAGCCTTGTAAATAAAAATAGGAACCACATTAAGGGGAAAACTAAACACTTCAATCGAAAATTGAATAAACAAAGAGATTCAGAAACAAAAGAAAAAGAGAAATAGAAAACAAAATCATCAATGAAATTCCAAAATTTGAATTAACGATTAATGCATTTGGATGTGAAAATACTAAGGAGAAACATTCTAATGGCAAAGCAGAAGTATCTAGCTCAGTTGGTAGTTTGGTGGCAACCTTCTTGTAAGGTTGCTTGATCAAATCTCGTTGGAAGCCATTAATCTCATATATATTTCTGAGGAAAGTCTCCGTAACATACATGAGCTTCTGTTTATAGAGTAATACGAAGAATGTTCTCTGCAGCAGTGGGGAGCAGCCCACGTCGGAGGATTCTTTTCTTAGGTGGTCAAAATACATTAATGAATTAGATATTGCCATTTCATGGAAATCTATTCAACAATATCTTACTCAACAGATTCACTTTGTAATCATTTCTCCACATGCAGCCATCTTTTCTCTTCTTTTTTCTTTTTTTTTCCAGTGCTATAAAAGCATTTATGTTAGGTTCTGAAACATGATTCCACCAGGTGTGCCGATCACATTTTCAGTGTTGTAGAATTTATTCTGCTTCATTTGCAACAATTAAATTCTCAACCACTAAAGAGTTCAAGACGGTAAAACACAATTTCTGTCCCATTCTAAACATCCATCTGGTAGCTCAATAGAATAAAGCTATTTTTTATCCTATGTATTGTGAGAGAGAGAGAGAGAGAGAGAGAGAGGGAGAGAGAGAGAGAAGAAAATTCAACAAAACAGACACACATCCAAACAGAAGCACAGAAGTAAAAAGGAAAGCAATAATCAAGGGCTGAATAATATTTATAAAAAAAATAAAAAATAAAAAAATCAGATATTGCCTCTTTCACTAGAAATAATAAAACTATGAAATATATCAGCCTTGTTTGGTTTGTTTTTCAGAAATTTTTTTTGGGAAAATTCTCTATAAACAAATTTTCAAAAGTAATCAAACCAAACAAATTTTTTTTAAAAAAATCTCAAAATTTTGTTTGGTTATCTACTTTCCAAAATCATTCTCTCTCTCATACACATCAAATCAATCACTTTTTTTAAAACTCTCTCCCCAGAACAATTTTCCAAAACCATTTTTAAAAAAGGCAAACCAAACAAGTTTTCGTACTTTTTGTCTAAAAAATTACTCTATAAACACAAACCAAACACACCCATCAATTCTACTATATTCTTCATTTTGTGAAGTATTCTTCAAAAAAAAAAAAAAAAAATTTACTTTCTTGACAACTTAGACTTGTCTCCCTATAATTCTACATTCTATAATCCATCATGGTATTTCTAAAATAAGACGCATCGAATCACAATTCTCAAGAGGGAGTACCACCAACCAGAAGGTTCTTGCATCTAATATTTGTTGACATTTTTATTTCACTTATTAAGAAACTTATCTACATAATAACAATCCACGAAATGGTTAGTGCAAACAAAATCAGAGAACTACATCTCTATGTACCAAATAAAACTGAAAAGATTGATTATAAAGAATGTACTAACCAATTCCATCCAGGCTATATCCGAGTCATAATAGTCATTTGAAAGGAAAGCATCAGCCTTGCTGCGTAGCAACCTCTTCAAACTACACAAGGTAAATAAGATTCCATCAGAAGGCTGACCATTTATAAATATCAAGAACAGAAATTCAACAAACCTAATACAATAATACCTAGGTGAGTTGGTTAAATCTCCTGCTTTATGAAGCAATTCAGCAGCTTTTGTAAGGAACTGCTTATACTCTTCAGAGTAAGGAACAGTATAAAGATCATGAGCAGATCCCACCAAATGATCAATGCTATCTGCTGCACTGTTGGCTAGGGATTTGTCCAAAGTTGATTCGCTATGCCTTTTAATAACACTGAAAAATCCCATTGCATCTTGTTTTTGGGCCTCCTTAAGGCTGTCTTTCCATAATTCAAATTCCTATGACAAGCAAGAGTCCTATTAATTTTCAAGATGGAAACGAAATCAAATGAATTAAAAATAATGGCTAATGTTGCAAACTTGTGGCCAGGTCATGCAAGTAGCGTAAAAGGATGCTATGGAAAACAGTTGTTTGGTTTGGTTTTCAAAAATAGTTTTCTAGTTTTTTATTTTTCATGTTTTTGTCTTCAGTGTATTTTCTGATATTTTAGTCATTTTTTTTTATTTTTTTTTTAAACTTTTAGATGCATGCATCTAATCTAGATGTACCTAAAAAGTAGAGTATATGTAAAGAAATCTGAAAAAAAAATAAATAAATAAATAAGGTTCACTAAAGACCAAAAAATGGAAATGTGTTGCCTTGTTTTCTTTTCTTTTTTGTCTCTCGTGAACTTTTTGTCAGATTGTTTTTGTCTTCAGTGTATTTTCTGATATTTTAGTCATTTTTTTTTATTTTTTTTTTAAACTTTTAGATGCATGCATCTAATCTAGATGTACCTAAAAAGTAGAGTATATGTAAAGAAATCTGAAAAAAAAATAAATAAAAAAATAAGGTTCACTAAAGACCAAAAAATGGAAATGTGTTGCCTTTTTTTCTTTTCTTTGTTTGTCTTTCGTGAACTTTTTGTCAGATTTCTTCACATATATTTACTTTTTGGGTGCGTTTAGATTAGGTGAATCTTGACTCAAATATACCAAAAAAAACACAAAACAAAAAACTAGAAAACAATTTTTAAAAACAAAACCGACCAATACCAGTACTTTTTGAAGCATGAAATGAAACTTCCCGTTCTATACCATTTTGTCCATGTCTGGAGGGTAAAAATTTGCACCAGGTGGTTTCAGCATAGGAAATGCAGTCCTATACTCAAGTCCCTTCCACCCCTTAACAGGCTTTGTTGCTTCAGGAAGCAACTTCACAGCTGAGTCTGCAGTCGATAAAAATGCTTCATTTTCGTCAAGGCAAGACCTGTCCATTCAGAAATGAAACTCACATATGCTACACATTACGTTTACAAAATAATGCACCATATAAACAGATAGAAAAGCTTCACTGCAGATTCAAAAACTTGACAATGGAAAAAATTCTAGCTTAGCACATGAAAATTATTTGAGTCTCTGGATGAACAAGCTCAGTAGCAACAGCAATGCAATTAAATTTAAATGCTTTGGCACTACAGATATCACAGTGATAGAGAGAGAGAAGAGAACCTTTCCTAGATGACTTGCAAACTCAAGTGTACATTTACCAGCCTGAATGGCACCAAACAAAATATATGCCTCTTCATAACATAGAAGAAGGCAGTGTGTGTAACGCTCATAAACATTTTGAAGAAAATACAACAAATCAGTGTGTACTCTACTTTCTAGTGCTGTAATAGATATTGAATATGACTCAAAAGGGCAGGTAACTTTGTTTTCACTCAAATAAATTATGGTCAATAAGATAGAACAGGGACAAGGCAGTCAAAATGAGTAAAAATGTCAGCTGAAAGGGACTACAGTGAGGAATTTCACAGCCAATATTTACTGATAGTTTTAAAAGGTGAAAGGTGAAGCACAAGGTGAGGCAATAGCCATTTGATACTTCAATATTTTTTACACATATACATAAATATTGTCAAATTAAATTATAATACTGAAAGGGAGGAAATAATAAATACAATAAAGTTATAGAAGCATTTCTAAACATTAAAGTAGCAAACTTGAAAAACTTAGGCCTTGTTTGTCCTAACCTAAAAAAGTAAAAAAGTCACTATCCTATTTAAGTCACATTATCTTATTTAAGTTACATTACCTTTCTATAACATCACTTCAAACCCAACTACCCAACCCATATTTCATAAAAAGTCACAAGTTGCACTTATTTAGATCATCCCAAACCACCCCTTATAAAGACCAGAAACACAAGTATTCCGCTAGTTTATTGGTTTATATCAAGATTATAATAGAATTGAAGAAAATGGCAAACAAAAAAAGGTTTATACTATACAACAAAAAAATAAGGACATTAAACATGGCAATATGTTAAGCAATTCAAAACATAGCATTACAACACTTTTGATCACTTATAGATCACTAAAACTAAGAACAGGTCACATGCATAAAAAAACAAAAAGGTTGCAAAGTTAATTCAGCCTTGAATACTCGAGATGTAAGCTTTACAAAATCCTTGCTTAATTCCTAAGCCTCAAGATACATTAGAACTGCCTTGCCTTGAGACTCTCAAGGCAAGCACTAGGAAAGCCTTCAAAACTTTGTTCACAATGATCTTCGAATACAGCAATATGCTGAGCTGAATGCAGAGCTATAAGACACCTGATTTTGAGATGATGCAACTGCACTCTTTTATAAAGACTAACATACTCTATTTTGTATATCAATCAGCACAAGAATTGCTAACAGTGCAGTCATCCAGGAAATGAATATGAAAAATGAAATAGACATTTGCTTTATTCATGCTGGTTATTCAATCACAATGTCAGCTCTTAGAAAATTCACAAACTGAAGATTTTTATGTTGGGAAGCGTAAAGGACTCCTAAGGACAATATTTCTGCATTTTTTTTTTTCACTACAATAAACACACTCTCAACTTTCAACTCAACAAAGACTTATTTCTAGCATTTATCTTTATGCATCCTATTTTGCCTTTTGCTCCATCAGGGCCACACTTTTGGCTAAGCCATATGGCTATCAACTACTCAACCCACATCCTTCTTCGACCTTCATCCTTGCAGCATCCTTAACACTAAACTGGGGCTTTTTTTCTCACTTAATAAGTTACATATTTCCTCAGTCATTCCCAATTGATGCTAACTCCAACATCTTGCAAAATCAACATTCACTCAGAGAGAAAGAGAACTTTGTTTGTTTGATCGATATTGGATAACTACCTTAAAGAGCACTTCTATGAAAAAACTTACCATGGACTTTTGTTAATCTGATAATACATCCACTTTAACTTGTCCAGCTGAGATAACCCTGCATGTTCCTTCAACCAATCCCTTAAAGTTGGATTGCTGTACCAAACCTGGAAAAAATATATATATATATAATCCAATAAATAAGAAACTGGAAAAACAAAAAGAAAAAAGAAGAGCGCTCTCTACTAGTGTTGAACAAATTTAGGTAGATTCTTCTTAAACATCTCAGAGCAAACAATCACTAGAAATGACTTTACAGGAGGACAGAATATCAAAACATTTTTCTTTTATTTATCATCCTAAAAGGTAGAACAAGACTGAATATGTATATTATCAAGAGGAAAAATTCTTGAACAACTTTCCATCCATGGGTCGTCTATCATGCTCAAACTGCAGATTACTTGTTCAAGTATAACAACATGCACGTATTGTTAAACAAATGAAATATCCATATGCATCAATATAAGTTTTAACACATGCACTAAAACAACCTGCAGGTGGAAAAGTTCATCAATGATTGTCCCAGCTTTAATAAGTAATGCCAGAGCTTCCTTGTCTGCATCGGTGAGCCCCATCAACTGTATCAAAAAAGATTATATGAAAGCCAATTTCAAATGTACAGATATGGCAAGTTCTATCACAGGAAAAAGTGAAATATTAAGTTTAAGAATGAGAGAGTAAGAAATCATTATGATAGAACTTGACATAAGAACAAGTCCGAAATATTATTGATTAGCAAAACACATAGTTTCTTTGGGAATCTCTAAGACAAAAATGTTACACATGGGCAGAACCATGAAGCAAATCACAAACAGACATTACCACTCTGCAACTATTTAATAAAGATGAGACTTACGGTAGTTTCTACTATCCTTTTTGTTTCCGTTTTAAGCAAGGCAGTCTCTACAATCCATGAAAGGACAGTCCAGCTCCAGGTCAAAAGTTACTTCCTATATCAGGTTGCGGTATAATAACATGGAGGGAAAGGAAGAATGATTTATATAAAGGGTAGAAGCAAAATGGCAAACAAGAATAGATTGCATGTACGGTAAAAAAACTATTCAACAAAAAACAAAGATACAAATCTTCTTTTTTTATTGGAATTTGGAATAGGTAATGGGGTTTGAACACTGGTGTCTGCTCCAATAGTGGCCCTCAATTAACAATGAAATAAACTAATCTTAATATACAAAGACAATATCAAAATGTTAAAAAACAAAAATCTGAATAAATAAAAAGTTATGGGGGGGGTAAAATCAATTTGTCGTCACTCTTCTAGAATGTTCAATGGAAGAAGTTAAGTTCAAGTTTGTAGTGTCTTGGTTGAGGGAATTCCTCTGTGGCCCTTAGTCTTTTTAGTTTAGTTAGACCAAACAGTGTGGTCCTTGGTTATATAGGCATTTGCCCGGAGCGTCATCAAAACTTATGCTTTCAGTTTTCTACATATCCATACATCCCTAAGACTGGGATCAGATCAGAGGCAGGCAATAGAAGGAACATCCCTAATCCGTTCTTATTGAAATCAGTTGGTGCACAAATGGGCTTGACCCACCACAAGGTCGCTACATTTGAGTAGTGCATCAACTCATAAAACCAATTGGTCAAATTCTTGTTCTCTCCTATCATAAAAGCAAGCAATGATATAGTTTCATTAGCATATATAGCCAAAAACTTTACATCTTTTTTGAATTTTTAATAAATAAAAATATATAAACAAAATAATAAATTAAAAGAAGCACCAAGGGGGTGGTGCACCCATATACAAAAGGAACTATACTAACTATACATAAAATACCTACTCAAAGGCGTCGACAAAATCCAAAAATTGGTTCAAAGACAGATTAACCATCACTGACAACCAACTATACAAAAAGGAAATTACTTTACTCTTTAAGTGCAAAATTGATTCTTCTATTTAATAAAAAAAAATATACTTTATCATCATTACTCTTTAAGTGCAAAATTGATTCTTCTATTTGATTAAAAAAATATACTTTATCATCGTTATTTTTAATATTAAAGTAATTCATATTTTATTCGTTTTGCTTGGTTTTCTATCCCACTCAATATGAAACACAAACAAAAAAATCAAGTCTTCACATTTGCGACCTATGCCAGGCTACATAGGTCAAGCATGAAGACCCTGTTGACCTTGATGCTAGTTCGACTTTGTGAAATGACTTGAGGTAGGATAAATGGAAGCCGGAAAAAACAAAAGTGAAATACCAATCAGCATGCTTGGTTATCATTTTTCAAAAACACTTTTCAGAAAATTCTACTTTCTTATTTTCCGTGTTTTTTTGTTTTTACTGAATTTTTTTAATATTTTGAGCAATTTTTAAAATTTTTAGACATACCTAACATAAATATACCTAAAAAGTAAAAAAAAAATTGAAAAAAGCCTTTTAAAAATTCACTAAATACCAAAAATACAAAAAAAAATACGAAAATTCAGTACATTTTTTGTATTTTTATGTATTTATTAATTTTAAAAAATATTTTTTCACAAATTTTTTATTTTTCAGATACATCTAAGTAAGATGCATCTAAAAAAGTAAAAAAAATGTTTAAAATTTTAAAAATATTCACTAAAAACAAAAAACACGAAAACCAAAAAACTCAGTTTTCAAAAAACTTAATTCAGAAAACTCAAACCAAACACACTGAATGTTATTTTACTTATTCCATGAATCAGAGGTGGGGCACTGCCCCTCATTTTTGGACCCAAGGCCCGCCTTGGCGGGCTGATCCTAGCGGAAGACATTGTCAGGTGGGGAGTTTGGATAGGGCAACACATCTATTAAAAGATAACGCAGGTATCCTAAGCTAAGCTCAACAAGAACAAATCCGTTGGCAAGTACAAGTGAGTATTAAAGTCGGATGAAAGACAATTAAAATGGTCCATGGTTAGAAGAAATTAATATAACCTTACGCCCTATGCAGCTTGAATTCAGTATTAAGGTTTAACAAAAGTTGGATGAAAAACAATTAAAATGGTCCAGGGTTGGAAGAAATTATTATAACCTTATGCCCTATGCACCTTCGATTCAGTATTAAGGTTTTACAAAACTCGGATGAAAGATAATTAAAAGGGCCATGCTACAGACCCCCAGTGGGGTGACCCCCACTGACGACCCCCAGTGACGTGTCGCACTGGGGTTGGCCGAAAATCCAAAAAAAAAAAAAAAAACAGTTTTTTTGGTCCAATGGGAGCTGACCCCCAGCACCCCCAGCTGGGGGTCTCAGTCATTTTTCATAATTAAAATGGTCCAAGGTTGGAAGAAATTAGGGCAAATTACACCGACGGTCCCTGTAGTTTGGGGCTTGTCACTTTGGTCCCTAACCTTTCAATTGTAAGACATTTGACCCTGAATTTTGAATTTTGAATCTTGAATCTTGTTCCAAATAAAGACAATTGAAGACACCGTTGCTCCATTTCAAGGGTAAAGTTGTTAATTTGATAAAATATAAACTAATTTGACAAAAATAAATGTCAAAAAATTATGTTTAAATTTTTAAAAATTATTTCTACCAACCAAAGATAAAATTATATAAAAATGATAAATCTTTTACGTTTTTATTTTTTATTTTTTATTTTTTTACTAAATTAATTTTTAGTATTTGTTTGGATGATGATTATGTAATGGGTGGTCGTTTTGTTGATATTTTTGGATGGTTATCATGTAATAGATGGGTTCTATTTGTTGTTAACAGATATTTTTTTATGGTTATCATGTAATGAATGGTTGTTAGGCTTTTAATATGTAATTGATATGTTTCATATATGAAATATTTTTAGTTTTTTTTTTTTTTTTTGATAAATAAGCAAGCGACTACATGTAAACACTCAAGCCTAGGACTTTATTTATATTTGAGTTAGAACTCATACTTTTGGTGTCCAAGTGTTGGCTTGGAAAGATGTAAGCCGTTAGGGCATTTAATTTGATGTTACATGTAATGTTTTTGTTTAGTAAGACTCTGATGGATATTATAATGAATTATTGAAGTGTTTTCTTTAAATAATGCATGTCATTGATATATATAATGGGTTAATTTTTGAGGGCGTTACAACTTGGTATCAGAGCGTACCGGGTTTGAATACTTTGGGTACGTGGGAAGTGATTAGTATCACATTGGGTTCGTCTCGTTTGATAGAGACTTAAAGTAATATTATATGCTGACGTGATAACATGTTTATGTGATTATGTGGGTATGGAATGTAGTTTCTAGGATGTTGATTGGACCCTTGAGTTTCTAGTAGTCTTGTTGGAAAGGCACTTGATCACTGCTGATTCCAACCGGAACTATAGTAACGAATTGGGACTATCATTATCCGGGAATGAAATTCGTAGGTGCTTATGTGATTATGTGCTTACGTGGAATGAATTACAGTTGTCCATTGCATTAGGACGCGAGTGTTATAGCTTCAGCACATTTGTGAATGTGCTAATGTTCTTCGTTACCTTTATTAGGATGTCAGGACGAGGACGAGGTGCAACCTTTGGTGTTTGAGCTCGATGA